GAAAGAACTGGCTGGTCAGAGAAGCTTCTTCTAGTGCCATTGTGTATTTCAGGCTTTCCCAGCACCTCTCTGGCTAGACCTGTCGGATTTTGCAGCAAAAGCTCTTTTTCCAAACCGGACACCTGATCTTTATCAAAGGGCATTTCTTTTGTGCTCTCAGCCACTCTCTCCTTGCCTGGAAAATCGCTGCTTTCCACCCCAGCATCCAGGACAGCCGCCTGCCCCGAAAGACTTTTCTCAGCTTTTTTTGTTTTCCCGTCGCTACATCTCTTCCCAGGCTTGTCTGCCGCCAGTGCTGCACCAGGATTCACCCCAACCGACTCCCCTGCAGGAGTCACTCCTGCCTCTCGGCCTTTTTTAATCAAATTCACCTCTTCTGTTTTGCTGACTGTGTCGGCCACAGCAAGATGCTTTGCTTCCTCTCTCCTACTCTCTTCTAAAGCCCCCAAATCACCTACTTCACTTTTCCCCAAATTTTCTTTAGGCTCCCCTGTCACCAGTTCAACCGGCCTCTGTGTTTTTGTTACATCTGACGTATTCTCCTGGAAACACTCAGCGGTGAGCCTGCCTCTGTCACTAACTGCCTCACTTTTATCTGTTACATCAGGAAAACTACTCGGGTCCATCTTGTTCTCAAGAAAAGGCTGCTGGAAAAAGCTTCTGTCGCCTTTTTTACTTCTCCCATCACTCCCTCTTTTTTTCGGCTTGCCTGCAGGATAAGCATGCGTGATGCTGCCTGACGGATGTCCTCGAGCAGCAAAACCTCTGCCTGGCTCAGGGGGAGTTGCTTCTCTCATAGTCTCATCTGTCCTCACTCCATCGCTCAGTTTGCCTACATCCTCCAAAGGCATCATCTGCTCAGAGAAGCTTTTGATTTTTTTCGCTTTCCCTTCACCACGCTTTTTTTTAGGTCTGTCCAGCCCATGTGTGATACCGAGATCTTTTCCAGGCTGCTGCTCGAACGCAACGAATCCTTTCCCTTTGTTTTTCTCAGGGGAATCTGCTGCCACCGTTCCGTCCCCTGCTTCAGCAGCGGGGGGACGTTCGCTTGCAGCAGGCTTAGCCGACAGATGGAGGGGCAGCTCTGACAGAACCGCAGCCTTCCCGTTCTGCAGAGCACTGACTTCCTCAGGTTTTGGAGAAACTAAGGGTGCGACAGGTATTTTAGTAGTGTCTGCCGGGGTCTTCGATGCTCCCCCTGAGGTACTAAAGTCAACGGCCAGGCACTTATCAGAGGAGGCCGGTTTAGTTTCAGCAGCTGCCTTCGGCTCGTGAGGAAGCTTGTCCTCCACACGAGGTTGTCCGAAGGATCCGTTTTCAACCTCTTTGCTTTTTTCACGGCGGCCTCTCTGCTTTCCTGCCGCTTCCAGTGCGCCCCTGGCAGCCTGAAGCTCACGACGGACGGCGTCGCTGAGCGCTGAGCGCCTGGGAGACGAGCGCTGAGCTTCCTTACCTTGATCAGACGGGAGCGATTCTGGAGGTTTGGGCTGTAAAGGAGTTTCTACTTTGCTTACATCGATCGCTTCTGAGAGAGGCGCCGTCGGGTCGGCACATTTTGACTCCTTATACTCCCTCTTCTCATTTTTATCCAGAAAATCTCTTTCCGTAGGCTTGGTCGGCCCCTTTGCTGTAACAGATTCCCCCTTCTTAGTCTCGCCTACCTGCTCCAGGGGAACCTCTGTTCTTTTGCCTTTAGATTGCGACATCAAACCATCATCTCTCTGTTCTGCTTTCACAACATCTCCCGTTTTTGCAGCCGACACAGATTCTAGGGGCACGTGGGGTTTCTGGGCCTGCTGTGCTGGTACCGAGGAGGCGTTTTGCTCATCTGGGACGTGACTTCCAGCTACTCTTCTCACATCCCTCGGCGTTCCCGCAGCTCTGCCTCCCGAGGCGACGGGCTGCTCTCCGCGAGCTTCCGCAGGCACTAGGGGACAGCCGTCCGGTTTTCGCAGTTCGGCCGCAAGCGGAGGATTTCGAGGAGCTTTTGAGGCCGCTACATTCTCATCCCAGAACTCCGTCGTTCTCGGCAGCTGGTTTCTCTTCTGTTTTGGTTTCTTCTTCTTTTTCTTCACAATGGCCGCAGAGCCTTCCAAATCCCACCTCTCCCCGGGCAGATCTCCGCAGCTTTCTGCGACGGATGGCCGCTCTGCCGCCTTTTGGTGTGAAACCCTAGTGCGAGGGGAGGTTCCAGCAGCACATCCAGGCTCCGCTACAGGGCAGGGGTCTGCTTTTGGGTCAGTGCTCTTCGGTTGTGGGAGACCTACGAGCCGTTCCTCTGGCACATCTGCGATAGGCACCGGCGCAGGTTTTGCTCTGCCAAACCTGCGTTCACTCGATTTGTTAGCTTGCCTTATTTGTGCAGTGGGGAGACCTGGAATACAGGAAGCCGGCTCAAACATCAAAGTGACCATTTGCTTTATAAAAAAACCAAATAAATAACTAAATACACTATATATGTGATTTTTAGCCAACTAAAACAGTCCGCACAGTCACATAGGCAGAATTTTCCAGCACGGATACCACGCTAATTCTAAAGCCACCTCAGTTAGGGCTGGGATAGACATTCGCACGCAAAACCTATTTAAGTTACTCCCGATAAAGACGTCAGTGCTATTTAAAAAATACATCATTCCTGATACACGGCTCTTAACCCACCAAAAAGCAACAGTTCTTGTAAGGACATGCCACTGCATCTTTAAAAATGCATTAAGGATCCATTTTGTCTTAGCAAGACAAGATAACAGATACACTTTTTTATATCTCTAGCTGGCGTCCTTCCAAAATGTGAAAAATAGAAGCGCAGAGGTAAAAGACTGAGCCTAGGGAAGAGAGAAGGGGCATGAGGGGGAGCAGAAGAGCTAAGATTCCCCCAGCACCCACGGTGGAAGCGGCGGAAGGCAGAACCTCCGGAGCAGAAGTCACCTGCTGGACTCGTTACGGGCAGCGCCGGGTTTCCTTAGCTACAAGCCACCGAGTTTAGAGAGAGCATCAGTCGTTTGTCAGCCAGCCCCGGCCCTCAAGTCAGCCTCCAGTCACCAGCGTAAGGCAAGAAGAGCTCATCGGAGGGGCTGGGTTAGTGGAGCAGGGGAAAAAAAAATAAATTAGATTTTTCTTCAGTAATTACAGAACTCAATTTGGAAGGAGGTCTTCACTAGGAACGCTGCAGTAAGAATTAATGGTCCTTTTCAACACCGAAATAAAAATGTGGTAATGGCTTTGAAATTCTACAGCGGAAAAGCTAGAAAAGCCAGTCCCAGAGATGAAGTGCTAGTAGCAGCCAGATTTGGGCTTTTAGTCTGGTGAATGCAGAGGGGAAAAGGGTATTTGAGAGGGATTAGAGGTGAAGCGCGAGCAGAGTTACCGCTGAACGCCAAGAACCGCGCAGCTGCTTGGTGCAGGAAAGGGTGCTGCTTGCTCGAGCGGCCCCGCAGTCAGCAGGAGAACAGCTCACAGAGGGGATTTCCATTCTAAAACAGAATTATTATTTAATATGTTCTACCTGTGGGCTCCTGCAGGGTCTTTTCTTGCTGAGGTTCTGCGTGTTGGACATGGTTGCGTTCAGCCTCTTCCTTTTCCTGCTCTGTAACAGTGACGGCCCCAGCAGTCACAGATTTTTCTGGAAGAAGGTCTTTATTTTCTAGTGCAACGGCTTCTTTTGCTTCCACCGGAGCTGAAATATGAACAACGCGAACAGCATGCGTCAGTCTTTCAGAAAACAGGCAACCTGCAGTTCAAAAGCAAGCCCTCGGAAAGGGTGTCGGGTTTATTTTTATTTTTAATTGGGATGAAGTTTATAAGATCTGGCAGTCTACTCCATAGTAACTCCTCACAATCCCATTTTAAGCAGCGGTTTTATATTTTGGCAGCCACGCCGAGGTGGAGGCAAAACACAAAGCAAAGACTGTCTTGGAGCTTAAGCACAGGATGATCATTTGTTTTGGGTTTTTACCTCTTTGTAATCAGTCAAATTCAGTCGATATTGGCTTCCCACTGGAATTCCAATCCTGGATATATCCCATTCTCAGTGTGGAGGCCCTATCTAGTGCTCACCCACACCTCAGAATGTACTCATGCGGACCGAAGTCCTGGCTACATGTCATTAAAACAAGTTGTATTTGTGGGATAGAGCTACATTGGGGAACAGCTCTATATGCAAATAATTGTATTTAAATTTTAAATAGAAATAAAAACTACAACAGATGTTGGTACAACAACGACGGACAAGTAAGAAAAAGACAAGTTGCACAATGGCAATTTCAGACGTTTGCCATCTATTTAGAACAGCCACCACGATCGCAACCTTCTTGAAATTAAACCTCTGCTGCTTTTTTTTTCCCTTGATAAGGACAGGAGAACAATGTCTGTGGGAAGGAACTTGGGCGGCGGGGCAGGATTAGCCGGCCGCTCTGGTTTCAGACCCACGGGGTTTGCGTTTCTCACCTGCCGGTTCCGAGAGATGGTTCGTCTGCTCTGGGAGATGCTCGTCGTGGGGGCTGGGCGGGGTTTTGCTGTCTTTAGCTCTCTCTGACACATCAACACAAACCTCTGGCACCTTCGGTTCATGTTCCACGTTGGCAGTCGCTTCTGCAAATAGAACGTAAAGGATAAAAAAAAAAATCATGTTATTTTTAGTTCAGATCAAGTTAAGCGAGACAAAAATAACTTTCTCACCTAATTCTTACCTTTCACAAGAAACTAAAGGTTTTCTTCACTTTCAAACCAGCTTTTTAGGATCATTTTCTACCAGCTCTCTCCTCCCGAAAGCCCAAGCATTCTGTACAGCTCTTGCAGCGTCTGGGATTCACTCTTCCATTCCCCCACCTATGCCTCTGTTACTACATTCTAGTAAGTTGGGTTTCTTTTGTTAAAACCACCTTTTTGAAGTTTATTCCTATTGCTAAACTGAAGAATATTAGAAGGTAAGAAAACATTTCTCGCCAACTCCTCCTGCAATCAATCCAGAAACTCGTCTCCGCCCAGGACTATGCGTGAGGCATCGACAGCAATTTTCTGTCTGACAGGACAGAGTCCTTTGAAAAATCTACGCAGCACAGCCAACTTGTTGGAAAATACGAAAGTGCTCCCCTTGCCACTTCGACGCTCATAGTCATTCCAAGGAAATGTCACAAAATTATCAACAAAACCTGGTCAGAAACTGCTTTCAAGACCAGAACCTTTGTTTGCAAACACTGTGACCTACGGGAGATTTCAGCAGTGACACGAAAGTACTAACAGGGACAAACTAAATTGTCTTGACGGCCACCCTAAAAACCACACGCCACTGCTAAGGATGTCCTAAAAAATCGATCATGAATAAATTCTAGTTTTGTATTTTAAGTGAAAAACCCTCGTGAGGCACTTCCTGCCCGAACCTTGCTGGCAGAACAGGGCTCTGCTTAAGCCGTTTGGCGCGAGGCGTCTCGTTAAGTATAAATCATGCTATTACGACATTTGTGCATCCGCGGGGCCATCACCAGCTGCTCCCAGGACCGTTGCTACTCTCGCTGTCCCAAACAACAGCGGCCTCTCGGCAGCTTCTCCCCGCCGGAGAGAAGCTTTCAGCCACACGCGCTCACCTGCAGGGAACTTGAGGGGTGACTTCTCTGGCTCCGCAGCAGGTTCAGGCGTCTTCAGCTCCTGAGCTGCAGCAACCTCGGTGTCAGCTGCAGAGACAGGCTTGGCTTCTGCAGGGACAGAATCCACGGCAGGAAGAGGCTTGGCATCGGCCACGGGAGAAAACGCAGAATCCATCGCGTGGTGGTGGTTGACTTCTCCCGCAGGGGCAAACTCTGCAACGGCTGCTGGAGAGAACCCGGAATCCATGGTGTGATGAGATTTGGTATCTGCTCCTGGGCCAAACTCAGAATCCAGAGCATGATGAGACTTCAAATCTGCTGCTGGGGCAAGCTCGGAATCCACAGTGTGAGCAGATTTAGTATCTGCTGCTGGGGCAAATGCCAAATCCATCGCGTTGTGGGATCCCGCATCTGCTGCTGGGGGAAACTGGAAATCCGTAGCATAAAGGGATGTAGCATCTGCCGCCGCGGGGAAGCCAGCATCTGCCGTCGGGGTGGAGGG